TAATATTAGGTTAATAGTCATTTAAAATTATTTACCATCTATCTATTAGAGTAATTAAACTTCTTTTATTTTCTTCATTGCTGTTAAATTATTTGGGATCTTTGAAATATCTCCTTCTTTTCCTCAACAGAGACTCTTATTTGCCAAGTACTTCAGCCATCTCACCTCAGCTCGAAAAGCCAAAAAATCAGAGATCCCTCATTTCAGGCTGAAGAAAGTGCAAAACATCAAGATATGGTTGTCACTGCGATCTTTCCTGAGGGTACGTGTGCTCCTGCACTTATTGTCACTTTGTGAGCAAGCTGTCTCTGACCTGCTTTTTTGTTGCAGAGGCGAGGACCGCAGCGATCTGTAGACGTCATCGTCTCCACAATCTTCCTTTTAGCTCTGTCCATTGCGTTCATCATTTGTGCTCAGGTTAGTCTGAGAGACTTTAAAAGAACCAAAGGAAGGTCTGTGCATATTATCTCATTTAGGTTAAGCAGTGAGCCTTAGATGAAACTGGTTTTAAAGCATGTTGCAGATACCAACATTATCTCCTCTCCAGCTTTTGCACAGCCACAAGACATTCCTGGTCTCTTTAATCAACTGGGAGCTGGTGGTGTGGTGCTTCTCCCTCATTCCCTTTCTGCTGCGGCTCGCCACGCTGGGCTCAGAGACTAACTCTAAATACAGCAACTCCTCAGTGCTGCTCACTGAGCAGGTGAGGCCCTCTGGCTGCACAAGGCTTCAAAAGCAGCAGCTGATTCACAGCTAGGATCTTCCAATAAGTTTCCTCTGCGTTTTAAAGTTTCCACATGTTCTTGGTTACAGATTAATTTGTATCTGAAGATGGAGAAAAAGCCTGCAAAAAAAGAACAGCTCAATATTGTGAACAATGTTTTAAAACTGGCCACAAAGCTGATGAAGGTAAGAAATCAGCAAAGGATTGTTTTGTTTGATCAAATGCTTTTTTTTTCTTTCTTTTTTTTTTTTTAAAGGCAACTTTGCCTTTTATTGAGTTAAAAAAAATTACAATGTTACACGAAGCTTGTATTTGGACAGACAGGATTTTGTGGTCTTCAAATATTTTTTATTACTTAATGGAAATGATGCTGTCATTTTGTTCACTAATAATTCTTCTTTCATCAGGAGTTGGACACCCCCTTCAGGCTGCTTGGTCTGACCATGAACCCTCTGATCTACAACATCACAAAGGTTGTCATCCTTTCGGCTGTGTCTGCAGTGGTCAGTGACCTCCTGGGCTTTAATATCAGAGTGAGTCACTATAAAAAGTTCATATTTAAAACAGTACATCTTCGATTAATGGTAAAAAACTAAATCAAATGTGTAGAACTTGACCATTGTGGGATTTTTTTCCTCTCAGGTCTATAATTCATAACTTTTCTGGAACTGTTTCAGTAATTTTATGCTGTTTGGAGATTATGTTAAACTTTTCTGGTTTGTGTTCATCGACCTGCCCCCTGCTGCAGGGGTTCAAAAAAGTGTGCCGTCTAAAGAAATGTATTTCTATACATTTATTTTCAATATCTGCTCATTTGTGGTTAGTGAATTATAAAAGTGAGTCAAAAGTCAAACATTTTGGACATTTATTCTACACAACCCTGCCATCCACAGGCACTCTCTTGCAAATACATGTTTTAGCACATGGTTGGGAACCCTTACCTTCAGGTGTGGTAATGCTACAACAGTGAAAATCTAAATATTTTTTTCTTAAAATAAGTGCATTTTTTCTTGAATTGAGGAGGTAAGTGAGACACTTTACCAATGGAACAAGACAATTTACATTTAAAATAAAAAAACAAAACAATTACATTATCTTATTTTAAAGTGTATATTATCTAATTATCTTATTTTAAGAGTAAAAATACTAATTCCATCAGCAAATCATCTTATTTACCTACTCCAATTAAGGGTAAATACACCTAATTTGAGAATTATTTACTCATTTCTTGATCGTTTGTGCAGTGTGATACATTTTCTTTAGAAATTAGAATGTGTGCTGTGGCTTGTTTCTCATGCTTTTTCCATTTTTATAATAAAAATGTGACTAATTCTTATTGTGGATACAAAATTCAGAACAACCCAGCCTATTTTGCGGTTGTTAAGTTTCATACTTTGTAAGTCTCATCCGTTTACCCTGTAAACTCTTGTGTGGTCTTCTTTTTACGCAGCTATCTCTGTCCTGTCAAATTTGATTTCTCAAATTTAACTTTGTCATATTTATATTTTCAGCTGTGGAAGATCAAGCCTTAATGTGAAGAGAACAGGACATGCCACTAACAGTCGGACACTGGAGCCCAGAAATGCTCTCCGTCTGCTGCAGAAGCCTCATATGCAAAAAGTGCTCAACCCTACTGACGGTGTGTACTTCTGACCGTACCTCCAACAGAAACCAGAGATGCTTGGACAATCACTCATGCAACGTTTACCAGCTACTCAGCTGATTTGGCATCAACACTGTTCACCAGCTCTGCCCCCACTAACAACGTGCCTAAAGGTCCCCTGGAAGAGGTTTATCATAGCAGCAAATGAACCTTCAGGTCACTGAGGAACCCGGATTTATATTGTGGTATTTCATAGGAAAGAGAAATGGTGTGTAAACATAGATATTATCAAATAAATAGGTTGGTTGTTTTTTTAGTTATCTTTTTTTAAGACAAGGAAAATCAAATCCTTCTGCTCTCAAGCAAAGAAAACACATATGAACAGACTTGGTATGATTAAAAAACCTTTATTATAGTTCTGCTTTATTTATTTGGGTCTCTGTTGTAATCTCTTGGACTTCTGCTCTGTAAATCTTTTACCACTGCCTCCCTTTTTTTTTTTTTTTTTATCAAAAACCACTGTTTAAAAAATAAAGGAAGAAAGGAAAACAGAGTCTTTGTTATTGGGGAATAAACTGTTTTCTAAGTTTCTATCAATGTATTTTTATAGTTCCATCTCAATACACTAAAATAATTCCAGTTCTTTATTTCAGTACTTTTATTCACAAAAAAAAATCTATTTATACATGTATATATGTACATAAAATGATTATATATTAAAGATTATACAACAAGGGATTTTTCTGTGTTTAATATTTGAATGGCTAAATCCAATTTATAAATAAGACAAATAAGCAGGAGTGTTCATAGAAATTGTGCACTAAAAGCTATTTTTATGCTCCGATTGTAATATCCACTCAATACTATATAGTGGCTCACCTAGGACTTTGATTTGCAAATAAAAAAAAAAACATTTACTTCTTTAAAAAGGACCTTTGACAATCAGGTCCTCTTTCTCCCGAACAATAAGAAGGAAATTGCCAGTTCTGATTCAGGGATGACTAAACACAAGCAGATTTTTTAGGGATGCTTGAACTGCTAAATGCATCTTATTAAACTTCCACAAGCTCCTAAATTAGCTATAAATATAACAAATTCCAACAATAAAACAAAACATTTAAGATGGTACAATAAGTAGCGGATCGGCTAAGAGGAATGTGCTTTCAGAGCTGTTTGGAACAGTGAGAGAGAAGTGATGTTCTGTAGATTGGATGGCTGTCACTGAAGGTCCTGCACCCCTTGGTGGAAAGATGGCCAAATGGAACAGAGAGGAGGGAGGAGGAGGCTAATCTAAGGGAGTCCGTGAGGATCTGACCCGTAGAAGGTCAGATAGATACGGAGGGGGGAGATTGAAGATGGCTTTAAACCTCAAAGTAAAAGAACTTTAAAGATGATGCGCCCTGCGTGAGGGGTGTGTTTATAGGAAGGAGCTTGGGTGACGACAGCTAGCAGCTACATTCTCAACTCTGAAGCTTGAGAGGTGATTTGCTTTGGAGACCAAAACGAAGTTAGTCAATCCAGGATGTCACATGACTGTGGACAAGAATTGAAATAAGATATTAAAAAGACGTAAATAGTTATAGCAAGGTAGAAATAGATGGAGTGCCATTATTGATGTGGGACGTGAAAGACTGTGTGATGTGAAGGATGACAGCTGGATTCTTTTCATAATGCTTAGTCCAACTTAACTGGGCTATGCATCTGTCTTCTGTCAGGACTGGTAATTCTTCTTGTCTGTGCATCCTGCTATTTACCACAATTTTTCCCTCCACTAAACTAATGAGCTTGGATCAGGCACTCTGTAGACATCTAGCTTATCAAGCAATTAGACCACATGTTGTGGGTGGGGAGAGGTTCCATGGAAGAATCAGTAATGTTCAGCAATATTATTCAAAACTGCTTAGTAGTATTGCACCAATACCAGTATCAGACTGGGCCCCATTCCAGCACTAAAATGGTGGTATCGGTATCGACGAGCACCAACAAATAGGCCGTTTTGAGAACTAAAAGTTTATTCAAGTATTGTCACCAATTCCAGGAAGGCAATACAAAGTTCTACTGGATTCACTTTGTATTAGTCTTTTTCCTGCTTCACAAAGGTAGGCAGCAGCTTGACAAAGCCATGATGGAAATTATTTTACATCCAAGTAGTATGAAGTTCTTCATACATACACACACATCAATTTCAAACAGATGGTATCGATATGGTATTGGCCAATACTGCACAGCCAGGTATTGGGGCAAAAAAATGGCATCGGTGCGCCACTACTGCTTAGGCAATGAAATGACAATTTCAAAAGATTTCAGTAACTAAAACCTCTTTGTTGCTTTAAGTGAATTTTGAAAAATTTGCCTATTTATTTATTTTTTTGGGGGGGAGGGGGGTCTGTAAACTACAATGGTAGTTATACAAAAATAAATAAATGTTCCTATTATTTGCTGAATCATTAATGTAATCCTGCTTGTGTTTGTTTATATTTGTTTATATTATATATTTATTGAGCACTGATCTTTGAGCCCAAATAGTCAGACACGTCGGCATGTTTTTGCAGAGAAGCCTGCTGCAGATGCTGTACTCTATCGAGTAATGCCGCAGTTCTTCTATTCTCAACTTTACGGTAAAGATACAGAATGTGACGTGGAGGCGCACCTCCAGCCTGGACGGAGCCCAGCGCGCTGAGGACACGAAGGACACAGGCTGACCGAGCAGACCGGCTCCTCCGACCGCAGCGGTCGCTGCAGACTGTCGGTCCTGCTGATCCGGGGATTCATCCGCATTTAATCCTTCAGAGGCGGCGCTAAAGAACCAAAGATTCCCTAAGCGGTCAGGTAAAATTAAAGCAATCCATATTGTGCTGAAGGAGATGCGACTTTTCTACATTATTTCCTAAATATGCCCACATTTCCGACATCAGAGGTCCTATCGTATACTTGTGATGGTGAGATGATTTTTAATAGATGATGCTGTAGCAGCATCATTGGTCCATCATTTTGCATGCAATGTTGCCAAGGATACATAAAGTCATAACCATAAGTTATTTATAGCCATCTGGTGAGTCTGATTTTTTTATTCCTGTGATTTTGCATTACGGTAATCCATTAAATGTTCATTATCATTTATTATTCCTCTTTGATCAGTTTGGACTATGTTTCCACTGAGAGTGTGCATATGTTTTATTTAGAAAAAGACCAAGCAGACATGTCCAGCAACCAAAGAGAAATTGGAGGTTCAACAAACTCCAATGAGACAAAGAAAATGGACCCGAGATGGAATGAGAAGAAATGCTGTAAGTGAACTTAAACCCATTGGTTTCCCAGAATTAGATTTGAACAAGTTGTGCATGACTGCATCAAGACTCCACAGGTGCATCTGTAATGTGAGCCCATGCATTGTCCTCTCCAATCCAGATCCAATTTACAAATGTTTTTTTAATCACATCTTTTGTGCTTAAGTTTCTTTACTTAAAACTACAATTTACTCAGAGGTCAGAGAAAGACTGGGGGTGTTTCTGTTGGCAAAGATGAACAAAAGGTCAATTATGACCAACTTTTTAAAAATACTTAATGTGACACATTCTTTCCATTATTCTTAGGAAAATTGGTTTTCATTCCCAGGATATTTGTACTTCTAATTTATTTTTTGGACCTCTGACCATAAAGGATATTTGTGTCTGAAGAGACAATTATTTTTGTCCGGTCTACACACAGTGGCCTAGATATTAAACCTCTTTTTCTTTCTGTAGCTATAAATAATGCATCTTCTTTGCATCCTTGCAGCATGGGCCTCCTATATGACAAACTCTCCAACTATGATTGTGATGATCGGCCTGCCTGCAAGAGGAAAGACCTACATGTCAAAGAAACTCACACGTTATCTTAACTGGATTGGAGTCCCGACCAAAGGTACAACATGGTGACTGATTTCCCTGTAATTTGGCTCAGGGATTCCAATTCATCTATATCTTATGTGGACCTGCTGAGTTTGTCTACTCTATTTTATATTTTTGCATATTTCCATCAACCTGGAAAATTGTAACATCAAAAAAATATATTTTTTTTGTTTTCCAAGTTATATTTAGCTGGTGAAACTCAAAAACATAGCTTATAGCACAGTTATAACCAATAAAAGAAAAAATAAATAATAGATTTTCTGGAAAAAATAGAACTAGAGGACAAAAAGTAAATTAAGAATATTTTTGCATAGCTGCACTTTTTCTTTGCTTATGGGGACATAGGTTTTTGAAATTATCTTTATCAGTAGTATTTCAGGCTATTTTAGAAGTCTTCAAATATTATTTGTAGACAATGGCTGCATTTTCTATGTTGTACCAATCACTTAAAAATAAAAACATTAAGACTGGTATTAGAATTTGTCAAAAGATGAGTTTAAAAGCAGCCAGAGTCTAAATAAAACCTTCTTACAGACCTTTAGAACATCTTAAGAAATACTCCTCAATACAAACAGTTTAAACCATAATCAAACAATTTTGAAGTAAAAAAAAAAATAACGGGTGACTCAGGATTTTTTTAAAACATATAGCAAAGTTAGCATAGTGAGATGGTTCGTATGCTTTTCTTACATAAGCAGTGATTCCTATTCTAATAGTTGTTTAAATGGACTTGCTTTTGGCTCATGGATCAAACAGAACTGGGTTGCACTTTATTGATCAAAATAAAGTACCTTGGCCTCCCAATGGGACACATTAAAAAAAGAGAAACAAAGATTCCATCTGACACACTTCCTATCATTTCATAATTTATAAAATTATATATTTACACAAAAAAAAAAACATTATTTATCTGTTTTATCCACGTGTGAATTTGTATTGGAAAAAAAGTGCAATCTGCCAAAATATTATTTAGGAACTTGAAGTTTTTACCATCAGATTATGATCAGTATTTTTTTTTAAGTAAAACAGCCAACAAAATATCCCTACTGCTAGAACAATGTGAGCTATGATGACCATATTGGCATTATGTTGATGGAGTGTCCTTTTTCCACAGTGTTTAACTTGGGTGTGTATCGCAGGGAGGCAGTCAGAGCCTATAAATCCTATGATTTCTTCCGCCACGACAATGAGGAAGCCATGAAAATTAGAAAGTAAGTCTTATTTTGTGGGCGAATCTTGTGTCCTCTTGTGACATCATTACGAAGTGCACTCACTTTCTGTGTGATGGCAAGGGGTATTATCTCTGCTGTCTGCGTATTTCATTTCCTCCATCCAGCACTCTTCCGCTGCATCAGTGACTAAGCTATTTTTCTGGCCCACAATCAAAGTTCAGTCAGCCAAATGTTTGTGTTAGTCCAACCTGACACACACACACACACACACACACACACACACAGAGGAATAAAACAGATTATGACCACCAGATTTTTCTATATGTCAACTCTAAATATGCATTGAGCTCCTAAAGATGATTAGTGAGTAGCAAGTAGCCCTCTTCCCTCTTTTTCCAGTTACAGTAAATGAATTCAGATTTTAAATGCATAATTATCATGTAAAAGTGACCAACACTTGACAGCATCCCACTGCTGAATTGTGACCTAGATATGAAACAAGCTGCTGCTGTCACTCATCAGAGTGACATAAGTCCTCCATGGGGCTGCATAGCTGTCGGATGTGTATCAATATTTCTCCAGTTCAGTCATTTTGTTGTCAGAAGGGTGCAGTGAAAAAGATTCTAGTAGTAGTTACACATTTTGTAATATTAGCTTTTGCTGTAGAGCAGTAGAGAAGAAAAGCAGGGGTAATTTAAGAATTCCTTTGCAGCCACTACAGTTTGGAGATGAAGGATGGTGGAAGATTAACTTCCTGGGTAAATCTTTTCATCAAATCACCAAACTATTTTTCTGATTTCTTTTCAAATCATTCTACATTTGGATTAATAAATTGTAACCAGTGAGCTTCACAAGGTTACGTTCAATGCTGGAAAAGTAAATTCAATTCAGATTTGTTTATTTATAGAGCACTAATTCACAGCACATCCTAACACTTAACGGATAATTAAATCCATTCATCCAGACAGGCTGGTTAAAAGTTTTCTGTCTAAGGAAAACCAGCTGGTTAAATTAAGTCAATGACTTTGCAGGATTCATTCCTCCTGGATGAGCATGTGACAACAGCAGACATTCAGCATTGTGTCATGACTCTGCTGCAATCCCTCACATTTAGCATGCATGCAGTAATGATGGAGGAAAAACTCCCTTTTAAGAGGAAGATCCTTAGATAAACTAGGCTCAATATGAGTCGCCTCTAGTCAAGGCCTCAAAAAGACAGGGGCCTCAAAAAGACCAATGTAGGACTAAACAAAGAAAAAAGGCCAAACTCGTCAAACTACGTATACGAAAATTCAACTTGTTGGCAGCAGCAGCCCAGCTGATGCCTTCTTTCAGGATGGTGTCATTTCTTAAGTATGCTTAAGCTTCATCTAGCCTGAAGCTCTTAACAGAGCTCCAGGCCTGATCAAGCTAATATGAAGAGAAAAAGCAAAGAGAACATAGAGTTAGTTAAAAAATCTTTCAAAATTGGAGAATATAAATAGAATGTAGAAAAGTGATGAAAAGTGGTACCTTTGTCCTCCGGCTCCCTAAGGCTTTAGCAGCAAAACAAAAGAATACCCTACCCCACCCCTCCTATTATCAACATACCTCAGCATTGTCTTCTCATTGTTTTTGGGATTTGTTTCCAGATATACTCTGTCCATTCTGTTTTTGAGGCTTATCCTAGATTTGGATAATGATACGTTTACCTTTTCGAAAACATTTTCATTTGGCTGGATGGGACCTTTTTTTTAACATGAGAAGCATCTTCTCATCATTCAGCTGTGCTGTTTTCTCCAGGCGTCCTTGCCTCTCCAGTGCATTCTTTCCTTTTTACCAGAACATGGAACAAACTGCTAATTTGGCAGCTCCGAATGTTCCCACCATTTCCCTGAAGGATTTGTTTTGCTTTTGCAGCCCAAGGATTGCCAGTTTCACGTGTAGAGATAAGAGCTTTAACCACTTTTGTATTCAAGTCACGGGCTTCTAAAAGCAAATTCCACACGTGGGATCAGCAACATACCTTATGCTTGCTTTCCTCTTACAGTTGAGGCCACGTCATGAATATAAAAGAACAAATTTGTGCAGAAGAAATACTTTTACCAATTTTTTTTCCAACATAAAACTTAGAAAACGAATCCTTACCTGTTTTCACTTTATTTGGATTTAGTTTTTACATATGCATAGATATACCTACAGATATATATACAGAAGAGCTATATGTGTATATATTTTATCTCTTTTTATTCTTATTTTTATCTTTATTATATTGTATAGTTGGATGTGTGTATATATTGTATAAAACTGTAACTGGAGCGTGTAACAAAAGTAATTTCCCTCTGGGATTATTAAAGTATTTCTGATTCTGATTCTGATAAATGTTAGGACCAAGTAAAAAACTTCCACTGTTAATATCTACTGTTTACTGTATGATTACCTGATTTTTGAATGGTTCAAATTAGTCACAGAGGACAAAGTCAGAGATTTTACTCAAGTAGAAGTAGCAATATTTTACAAGAATATTACTTTAGTAAAAGTAAAAAGTACAGCACAGTAAACCTACTCCTAAAGGTAATTTTTTTTCAAATTGTTACTTTAGTAAATGTAAGTGAGTAAATGAACACAAGGGGTGTAGATAAGTACAGAAGGATGTTTTTTCCATCGCTAGACACAACATTTCAAATTCTTTCCCATAAAAATTGTTTAAAGGGATTTAACTGAAATTCGACTGAGTGATTAGAAATGTGTTAATCTAATCAGATTAACTGAGCACAGAACCCTTATAACATCATTTTCACCTATTTCTGATATCGATCCCTTAATGAGACATTTTATCTCAGTGACTGGGTTTGACCTCCCTCCCTACAGGCAGTGTGCTCTGGTGGCTCTGCAGGACGTGAGGGTCTACCTAACAGAGGAGTGGGGTCAGATTGCAGTGAGTTTCCTCTCCATCTTTATGTGCATTTGGTTTGTTTTCAACACCTTTTAATCACATAACCCTCTCTGGTAAGAAGCGATCTTGACGCACTGCCCTGTTTTTCCATGGTCAGGTTTTTGACGCAACAAACACGACGAGGGAAAGGCGGGATCTTATTCAAGATTTTGTGAAGGAAAATGGCTTCAAGGTAAAACTTTTTTTTAATTATCATTTTTCATTTGTGTGATTAGAGTGTGCCGCCTTGAGCTTTTACATGTTATTAAACTAGCCTTGAATTTCTCTCTGTGAAATGCAGCAACAAGAATTGTACTCTGTTTTACCTTTTTATCCATGAGATCTTTATAACTGGAGAACATGTTGTAAAACACATCTAACGGTAAGAAAAGAAGGGAGTTTGGGCAAATGAACTAGATGTTGTGACTATTTATTTGTGGTTTTCAAAGACTATATCATATTTTTCTCTAGGATTTTGTAATCTTGATCTGAGTCTTAATTTTGCATTTTTAAAGTCAGATCCTTTACTTTATTTATCCTTTACATGGACAGAGGTCATTTAGCCAAGTTTCAATATTAAAAGTCAATTTTAAATAGTGATGTAAAATGTCCCTGCAAACTTGAAAACTGACAAATTCTGACTGTTTGAAGTGGCATTTGAACAGTTTTTTTCTTTTTTTATATGTATATATCCCGCAGTGCTGAGATTTTGGCATGTTTCATCAAACTTTACATCTAAAGTAAAATAATACAGAGCAAAGTACAGGAAATTGTATTTGGGGAATGATTCCTGCCCCGTTTAATCAGAAATACCCCAACTGAAACCCCAGGGAGAAGCATCCATCTTTGGCATCTTTATTTCTTCGATTGGGCTGTATTCACCCTTTTAAGTTAAATAAGATTTTTGGGGAAAATAACAATTTTCCGACTCTATGGACTCCAGAAGTGTAGTATTTTCATATCCATTTTTATTTTGTGCTCTACCTACAGTATATTCTCTGTTTCTGGTCTCATGTTAAAATTCAAATCCAGCAATGATTTGAACTTTATGTATTTATTGTCTTCCAGCATTGATCAGGTTTACAATTTTCTGTGGTTTTCTGTCACACCTTGTTAGTGTGCTGTTGTTGTATTGATAGGATAGAGCTCAGCCTGACTCCAAAGTCCAAAAATGTAACATAAAACTAATGGGGCAATTATCCAAAGAGACAAACTAAATCTCCCTTTCTCCAAACCCTTTTTGCTTTATTGCACCTTCTCATTACTTTCTTTTTTTCCCTTCTTTCATTATGTGCCTGTTTGATGAAGTCCAGGCCTGAATTAGCTAAATGAACCTGAAATACTCGGGTGTCTGGTGGGAAGCTATCCCTCTTAGCTCCGCCTCCTATGAATGTGAAGACATGCTTAGCATTGTTGCCTGCGCCTGTTTTCCACAAACTGCGGTATAGAAATAGGTCAACTCTTTTAGAGGCAACAGGAAGACAGTGCTGGCTGGCAGCAGGTGAAAATAAAGAGCATCATTTTATCGGGATGTTTCCATTGATGTCAGAGATGTCTGATGCACATGCCCTTGCAGACAGCTGGAGAAGCTGTTCTACATTCAGTAATTAGCGCTGGTAAAAGAGAACATTTCCTCAGGCGTCTTAAGGATCACCGATGCATGAGCTGAAACAAAAACTGAGTGCAAACATTGGTTTTCTGTGAGATTATTGCCTCTCAGTTCAGATCATGTTTCCAAATGGACCTCAAATATTTATGAACCTGGACAGCATCCCAAAAAGGAAAAAATATCACAGAATTAATATTTTTCATTTGTCATTGACTTTGCCTGTTAAAGTGCTGCCTCAGCTTTGAGTGGTTGCACCTAAAAACAATACCAAGAAGAAACATCTCAAATAGCAGTCAGTGTAACTTTCTATGTGTTTTATAATAGTGTTATAAAAAATTAAAGTTCAATCCAAAACACATTATATAGTCAGTATATGTTTCTTTGATTTATTTCAGTTGCTTGAGTATTATATTATATCATTTATTTTCCAAGAGTCTCATGAAATTTGACTCAATGCCTTATGAGAATAATGTAAAAGATAACAAAGATAAGCGTTTGGATTAAAAATATTTAATATATCTTTGCAGATTTTCCTTTAAGGAAACTTTGTCATTGTTAAAGTTGAATTTCATGAATGATGTTTGAAGATCTGCCCCTTTTTCCAACAGGTGTTCTTTGTGGAGTCGGTGTGTGACGACCCAGACGTTATTGCTGCCAATATTCTGGTATGACCTCATGTCACTCGTCTGTGAGGTTGGACTGTGTCTTGTGATCTTCATTACAGCCCTGAGATACTAATGTTCACAATGAGAGATGCACTGCTTGTTTGAGGTATTTAAACACTGCCGTTGCAGGAAGTTAAAGTCTCCAGTCCAGACTACCCTGAGAAACACAGAGAGAGGGTAATGGAGGATTTCCTGAAACGGATAGAGTGCTACAAGGTCACCTATCAACCATTAGATCCAGACCAATATGACAAGTAGGATGTTATCAAGTTTTTTTCACACAGAAAACACTTATTGTTCTCCCTTTAGGGTAACTTCAAGCAAAATTGATGTTGAAAGAACCTGTGATTTAGACATGAAACACTGGACGGCGACAGTGAGCAGTTATTTCATTTTACCCAATGTCTCCTGCAGGGACCTCTCCTTTATCAAGGTTATAAATGTGGGCCAACGTTTCCTGGTGAACCGAGTGCAGGACTACATCCAAAGCAAGATAGTATATTACCTCATGAACATCCACGTGCACTCACACTCCATTTACCTGTGTCGACACGGAGAGAGCAACCACAACATGGAAGGACGCATCGGAGGAGACTCTGAGCTTTCTCCGAGAGGAAAACAGGTACAACAGGGCTGCTCTCTCTCCACTCAAGCTGAGGACCAGAGTCTACAGTGCCTTGCAGGAGTATCCATGTATTTATGTATGTCATCGGGCCTTCATGTGGCAGACCCTCCCAGCATATGCTGGTGGAGATTCTCAGTCATCCAGCTCATAGTCATTCCAAAAAAGAAATAAAAGCAATCCACTGGAATTTGTTTTCAAATTTGAAGACATTTCACTTCCCATCCAGAAAGCTTTTTAAATTCAAAATGTCCAAATGTCCTCACAGCATATATGTGGAGATGGTCTGAAGAGTGTATATAATTCTCTTTTTTTTTTTACAATTACAGTTACTAGTACATACCTAAGCCTAAACCTAAACTAAACTCAATTCAAGCCTTAGTCCTAAACCTAATCCTTAATTGAAGTACAGCGGTTCTTCTGATGGGGTCCAAAAAAGCACATCATGGTCCCGAAGAGTATATGTGTGGAAAATGGCCGTTTAACGCCCATGAATGCATGCCTCCACCTTTTCTTTTATCCCTCTCATTTGTTGCTCCCTATAAAGCATCATTATGAAGGAAAATAATTCAGCATAACGACCTGGCTTTCCTTCCCCTCTTCATATGCCCAGTTTGCCCACGCCCTGCGAGATTTCATTGATGAGCACAAACTGTCGGACTTGAAGGTGTGGACAAGCCAGCTGAGGAGGACCATCCAGACCGCAGAAGAGCTGGGTGTGCCGTACGAGCAGTGGAAAATCCTCAACGAGATCGATGCGGTCAGTACCAAGGGGCCCGATTCCACTGATTATTTCACTGACACTTAATAAGCACATTAGCTTTATGAAGCTTCTAGAATGATTGAGTTAGAATTTTGAAAATTCCCTTAAAGGTGTTGTTGAAAAGATGTAAGCTTAGTTTTGAGATTTACTTTTTTAATAAGAAGAGGAAAATGTGAGAAAATGTGCAGAAATGTCTCTGATTCACAAACTGCAAAACCATTTCTTGTGTAGGTTTTGTTTATTTATTTTTTTGCATCACTCCGTACAACAAGCCAAAAAAATAAGAATCACCTTGCTATGTTCATATGTGATTAATATTAGCACAACAAAGGGCAGAGCCAAGCTTTGAATGTAATAACCAGCCATTTTAAACCCTAAAGATGCCATGCTATGATAGTAGTGGTGCAGGTAAGCTTCTGTATTCCTGTTTTTTTGCACAGGTCAGGATGTTTTTATTAATTTTGTAACGAATGATATATAATTTTGAAAGTTACTTGACTTTTATTTTTGTATTTTTTTTCAGGGGGTGTGCGAGGAGATGACTTACCAAATGATCCAGGAGACTTTTCCAGAGGAGTTTGCTTTGAGAGACCAGGATAAATACCATTACCGCTACCCAGGAGGAGAGGTGAACTCCAGTAATTTATAGAAAGTGAATGCTGATTGAGCTGCTGCTCTTACACAACTCTTCTTGTCGTTTTTTTTTAACTGTCTATCAGTCCTACCAAGATCTTGTGCAGCGTCTTGAACCAGTTATCATGGAGTTAGAGAGACAAGGCAATGTGCTGGTAATCTGCCACCAGGCGGTGATGCGTTGTCTTTTGGCTTACTTCCTGGACAAGGGTGCAGGTGAAAAAAAAAATAGCAAATACGCACACTAAAACATATTGAACCTGCAAACACCATGTTGATAACCTTTGTACTTTATTTCCCAGATGATCTGCCGTACATGAAATGTCCCCTCCACACAGTGCTTAAGCTAACTCCAGTTGCATATGGTAGGTCTGTGCCAATAACCATGAATATAGAGGCCTTTAGTGTTTTTTAGCCTGTTGTTTTCCTTTTTCTTTCAGGTTGTAAAGTGGAGATGTTTTACCTAAATGTGGAGGCGGTAAACACACACCGAGACCGGCCACTTGTAAGTTGGAGTTTGAAAAATAGATCATTATAATTCATTCACCAATGTGTATGCTGCTGTGTTGAGTTAATGATTTAAATGTGACGTATTTTTATCAATTTGGATTCAAATGACCAGAATCTGATTCAAAGTCGACCCGGGTGTCGTTTGTTGTTTCTGTTAGTTCAACACAATGACCCCACAGCTGCATTGGATCCCTCCATGCGAGGCTTTGCTGCCTTGAAGCCTTTCTTTACAGCCCACTTCTTTTCTGCCCTTTCTATCTTTAACTTTGATTAATCAGCTTGGCCTGAGCTGCAAGCAGAAAACTGTTTTAAGTTTATGTTTACTCATATTTTAGCTCCCTGGAAGCTGTGGCTGATCATTTAAACTGCTTGGCTGACTTGATTATTATCATGGATCTGACTGCATCTTGATTTAATGATTGTGTGTTTAAAAAGAAAAAGGCAGGCTGTTAAACTTAGTCCAGAACTTTATCTTAAATACAGTGTTAAAGTGTCAACCTTTTCCACATGCTGTCATGTAACTTTGATAGATTCCCTGTCTCTGTGTTTAATGGGATGGAAAACATTGGACTGAGCAGAAAACACAGAGAAGTGAAAAGCTGAGTCTAATTCTTAAAACAGAAATGTTTAATCAACCTGTTTAAAATGTCTGTTTTTTTTTTTTTTTTCTTATGCGTTGGTATCTTTCTTAATCTTTCAGACCAACGTTTTTCTAATTGGTTACAGTTGGTGTCTGAATACAAATGAAAGGAAGTGACACGTTTCTAACTAAAATGGAAGTGGCCGGTGCCTCCCTGGAAACACAGCTTGGAGGCTGGATTGAACAAATAATTAAAAAACCTTATGTCGACTAAGCTGAGGAACAGAAAGTTCAGAGCCACAGTTGGACGGACCCGATCGAGGTCAATGAGAGGGGGCCCAAGAAGACCCAAGGATGAGCTGTCTGACTGATTTAACTCAGGCTGTTTTTAATTAATTCAGTTTATTTATATATCACCAATTCACAACACATCTCATCTGGCCTTCGAGTCAAAGTGTCGATGCAATCAACTGGTTTTCCTTAGATAGAAAACTTTGAATCAATTTGACTGGATGATCTGGTGAACTGTAAAGTGCCTTGAGGTGAATTGGTGCTATATAAATAAACTGAATTGAATTGAATCTCAAGTCATTTTGCAGAGATAATTCAACCAGATCATTGAGTCAGATTGATTAAAAGTTTTTTTAGCTACGGAAAACTAGCTGATTACATCGACTCATTGACTTGAAGGCAATCCCTGAGTCAAAGCATGCTTGTAGTTACAGTGGGGAGGAAATCTCCCTTTGAACAGGAATAAACCTCCAGCAGAACCAGAACCAGACTTGGTGCGAGTGGGTTCAAGGAGACAGAAGCAGGCATAGAAAAAGAAGCAGAGATACAAAAGGCAACTATCAAACAGCTCCACAGGTGGCCCCGTTCAGGAAACACACAGCAAGGCAGATGAGCTTTTCATGCATTATAAACCTGTGGACCTCTAAGGCTCTCCTCTGGTAAAAACGTCATGCCTTCCAAAACACTCCCTGAATTTTAAGCAGGAAACTAGAAAACCTTAAATACCTTTTAGAGAAAGATGGAGAATCTGATAAAGATAATTCTTTAATTAGTTTTAAAGAAATCCGTAATTTGATTTTGATTCCATGACTATTTGAAAAAAATGTCTTTACTTAATAATAATTAAAGAATGAGGATCTCCCCCAGTCAACCACTCTTGCAAGAACAGCCTCCTTATACAGATCAATGTTTCAAGGGTTAGCGTTAGCAAGACATTATCCCAATCCAGGGGAATAGGTTGCAATAAGTGTATAATTTATTTTCCATTTCACACGTATCTGTTTATTTTTGTGCTGTTTGATACAAATACAGTTGTTGTTACGATGCAACAATTAAGAGGACACAAACGCTTTAGTAAGGCCTTCTAGCTTTACTTCAGTAATAAAAGCTTTCTTTTTTTTTTTGTCAGAACTCCACTGTTTCTATTGATTAATGTCCAGGTATTTAGAATGGCTGTGTCCATTCAGGTGCTTCTCCCGTCTCATCTGTAACCCCATCTTTTTTTCCTGTAACACTTGCGGTATTTCATCTTCTGACCAGGGTAAAAATCCAAGGGAGTCTGCTCTCATACATCGGAGGAATAGTTACACTCCCTTGTCAAGTCACGACCAGGTCAAGCGGCCCAGGCTCTACAGCGCTGGCAACCAGCCATGGCTACCGCTCGCCCCTACCCCATCGGCTCTGATGCCGGAGAGTCTGCAAAGCCAAGTTAGTGACAGAATTACAGGCTGACTCTCTAAATCTGTCAGCGTCACCTGTAATCAGTCACCTCCCACCACAATTGTGACCCTGTGTTTAGTCCTTTTGCCTCAGTTCTGGACCTTCTTGATGTGTGTGTGTGTGTGTGTTGCAAATGACTATAAATGTCACCGCTGCATTTGTATTTCTTTCTCAGGGCGTGTTTTGCATCTTGAAACAGCTGCTCTGTCCTTCTGCTGATTGTCCTGCATGATCCTTTACTCACAAAACACTGTCTCCAGCTTGAATGTGCAGCGCAGCATGCCAACTCCTTGCTATTTTTTTTTACATTTTCTGCTACCCAAAGACACACAAACATTAGAAGTATTTATTTACAAATTATTACACTTATATGATTATATAACATAAATGCAAGCAAAGAGTTGAAGGGGAAACAAAAGTATTTCCTAATATTGCAAACGTACTGGTAGATTTAAGGACCGTGCAATCATTGGCCTGGCATTGTGGTACAGAGCTTCTGTCTTTCTCCACATTTCTGTCTGTCTTCTCTCTCTCCGCTTCCTCAAAACCTGTCTTACAGACTCGGACAGGAGGCAGTTGTTTGTGAGTATTTTTAGACATGTCGTACCAGTAGCCAACCATTCATTTTCTGACCCATAATTCAACTCAATGTCTAATGATCCATATCTATACATTTGTGTAATAATTAATATTTTTTATGGTCTAATTTATGTATATGGTTCTAGTCGATCTAGATTCTCTTTTATTTACATTAGCCTGTCCAGTAAAAGTTACTATCAGCTTTGTTTTGCATCAGAAACCCATCAAAAGCACCGTATTGTACAGTACTGAATGTGTGCTTCTATTTTATACAAATGTTTGTAGTGGAGTTATCTGAATCAGTAAAATATTGACCAAAAGTATTTACCTATTAAACTCATGCCATAAATCAATGTCTGCTTCAGTACAGTTCCAGTTACCATAGTTGTTTTTTATGCAGTGGTAATGGTCACTTATGTCCATATTTGGTGCTTTTAAAAACTGATTTGGATGATGTCCTTCTCTTCCATGATGAAGAGTTTATATGACTACAGCTTGAGTAGTTTTGTAGATATATATCAGATTAAATTCATTGTACCTTTTCCAAACAGGTCAGAGTTATACGTACCAGTTTAAACTATTTCATATTTTTGCCCATATTTGGTTGATTTTCCCCTGGCGGCATGCCGCAGGCGTGAGCAGCATACATGGAGGCTGTTGCTCCTCGAGTTTAACTCTCTGCATCTCTGCTTTTTTCTGCCTAATATACTGTAAATAAAGACGACCAGCTCTACAAAATTGGGAATAATAAAATAAATAGAATGTTTCTACCATAATCCAAGTCATTTTGTTGCCGCTTTTGGCATAATTCTGGCTTTTTTTTTTTTTTTTACCTTTCATTTTAACACAGCTGGTCATTGATGTTTTTTTTTTTTTTTTCCTGGCATAGATTCAGCTTTTAAGTATAACTCAAACATTTTGAAGAGGATAAGATTTGGGGCTTGAGAAGGCCATTCCAGAAGTATAATGTCAGCCTACGTTAATTCGAAACCCTGTTCTGTCACGCATTGTGTCCGAGTTTTAAGGCACCTGACTAAAACCCTCTCAAATGAAAATAAACTGTTGAGGATGTGCAAGAGCAACCTAGGAACTGTTAAAGCTCAAGCTGTCCATTTACTAGAAGATGGTGAACTCTGATGTTACTCACAGAAAAACAGGTTTTAGGGAGATTTTAAGAGGGCCCAAAACAAAAGAGGAGCTGACTGCATGGACAAGCCAAATGCCTGCCGCATACTGATGTAAACGAGACAAGAACCTGAACTTTTCTGATGAATTCTACCAGTTTTTAAAAAGCTAGAATGTGTTTTCAAATATCCAGAAAGAATGATGCCAGCGGCTTTTTGAAGGGAAAAAAAACATGTTTCCCTTTCTAAAAATTAGTCGATATCAATGTAACTAATGGATTAGAGAAAGTTCATAAAAAATGTAACCTGTTTCACACAATCAATACTTATAAAGTCTAAACATATTATTTTTACTCCAGAAAAATAAAGATTCTTGAAAATCAGTCAAATCCTTCACAAGCGTATTTTAACTTATGTCCAGAACTGTATGAAAGCTGTACAGTACAAGACTAAACATTAGAGCATTAGACCATAATGACATTAATTATTCATTTTATTCATTAATGTCTATATGTTACAGAGAGACAGTAAGGCTTAAAATTTGCTGAGCCTCTTGAGTAATTGACAGTACCTCCAAACTACATTTTTTGTTGTGACAAATTGATTTTGAAATGTTGGTTACATTTGTTTTTCTTACTAAGGAGTCCCTGTGTGAAGGATTCGACTTTGACAGCAGCGAAGAATCTAGTGGCTGCGTCCGTTTCTGACTGAAGGTTGGATCCTCTTCCGCTTTTCTTCACAGCTTATCAGCTTTTTCATGAGCCAAACAATAGAAAATCTTATTCCTTTTTTGATTTTTTATCATATTCTAGATAACCATAGGATTACAGGGAGCAGGACAATTCCCTTCTGAGATATAAACATGATAATGCAAAATAATATGTTGCTGTTTATCTCAAGCACTCTGTCTTTTCTCTGCATGTTGAGGTTTTAGTCTAGAAACTCTTATCACTGACTTCATATACAGTATTGCATGTGCACCAGAAGTTATTAGTCACCCAAACATGCAGTACTTTGGAGCTTTGGTGCCATTTTTATTTCTTAAATACAGCAATGCCTTAGTAAATTTCAAATATATATTCCTAGAAATTACATTTTCATCTATCACAGAATGTAATCAATATTATGTTTTCATTATAGTACAAAAATGGGTGATATAGAAATATTTTTACAATGAAGATATATGTATATGCTCTGGAAACCTGTAATAATGATTCTTATCGGATGAGGATATTTTATGTCTGAAGTGGAAAGAATGTGGCTAAAATGAATAAAGGTATTTTTATTTGTTTCTGCACTTTTAAAGCCTTTTTATTTGTTCAAAGATGTAAAAGAAAAACGTCTGGATACATCATTTAGTCATGGGAGTGTGGCCAGCATACAGCGCAAAGCACCACCAACTCTGGTAAACTGTATTTGTAGGAGCCAATAATTTTTTGTTAATAATTAAAAATGTTTTTTTGTTTTTGTGCATAATCTAGCTAAGTTTATTTTACTTTATTGTTTGATATCTGTTATGAGATTATGTTTTTTGGTAATTTAGTCATGTTCCTTTATTTTTGGTAAGTTATGATTAATTTAGGTCAATAATTTTTTTTATAAATAGGCAGTCAGTGGTAGGACCAGCATGCATCTGGGTGGGCGTATGGTTTTTTTTACCAGCACAAGAGAAACATGGAGGAAAATGTTTGTCTGTTTTTGTTTGCTTGCCAGACGAAAAAAATAAACTGACAAAACTAAAGGAGTTTACCTGGAACAATTTTCTTTTGCCTGCGTAAAATAAGTCCATGGTGCATCTGTGGCCTTTGTGGATTTCCACTTTTTTGTGTCATCAAAGCTGGGCCACAACAGTATTTTCTAACACATTTCTATCAGAACAGGTCTTTAGCTTTTCAGCTGTTTGAGCTACAGTAACTCATCCTACGGATTCAGGCACACAGGACAGCCTTTGCTCCTCACATGCATTACCCAGCCATGCTTTTCCATAACCAAGTTCTTCCCTGCTCCTTCAGATCATTTTTGATAGATACCAAAATCCCTTTGACTGTTTCTAATCCAATCAACTTTGAAGAGGAGTTGTTCCCCTTGCTGCCTAATAAATCCAACCCGCTAAGAGATGCCATTGTGAAGGGTCAATCAATGCTATTCATGTCACTCATCAGTAGCCTTAAAGAAACCTGGTATTTTACTTCTACAATCCATCTAAAGTTGACTTTCAATTCATATTTCTGATTAAATAAAATAAATACGGCTCATTCTGACACGTTTTTATACCCCTGTTTTTTCTTGCACAAGAGAATTGGACTTGTGTGCAAACATATTATTGCAGATGTAGCATTTAAGACATTAGCAGTTTTCCATGGTTCGTTTACCGTTATTTCCTGGTTCTAACTCAATAGGCAAAAAAAAAAAAATACACAAGCAGCAACACTGAAGGTGAGTCCCTGATTGTGGTTGGCCCTTTTTGGTGGAGTAGATATGGGAATGGTGATAACCAGGTGGGCTAATGTTAGCACTCTTTCAGTATTTAGGTCAATAAAGGAGGAAGACCAAAACCAGACTTTGAGGAAAACGTGCTCTTGTATATGTTTCTGGTTTGCACAATGAGCCGAGATAGAAAAAAAATAAATAAAACGGGTTTCGTATAAAAACCGACATATGCATTTTAACATGGAAAAATATTTTCTAGGTGATGACTCCTTGAAATATCCTAGTAAGGAAAATAATGCAAATCAGTATTTTATAGTGTAAACTATAAATATATATATTATAGTGTAAACAAAACTGTTTTCATTGATAACTTTGTACAGTCTTATTTATTACATGTTTTTGTCTAAAAGTCACTGACTGAAGACATTCAGGTTTTAACACCCTGGGAAAAGTCTCTTAACTGTTTGTTGTGTTTGTTTTGTTTTGTTTGTTGTTGTTTTTTTATGCTGGCATCCTGCTTGGCAAAATCAGCCCTGGAAGTTTCTGGAACAGAACCAAAACTTATTTTCAGTTGAGCTTCATTAGCTGACTGTTGCTGCTACCCTAACAGAGGATGTTTAACAACTAGACTATTGACTGTGATACATTTCAGCTGTATACAGTATTATAGTTAGAATGGATGACCAAGGGACAGGCTGCTCAGTCGCACAGTGGGTAGAACTGCTGCATTGCAGGTCCTGGGGTCTTTCTGCATGCAGTTTGCATGTTCTCCCTGAAAATATGTTGGTTCTCTCCGGGTATCCCGGCTTCCTCCCACAGTCCAAAACACTCAAAAAAACTGTTAGGTTAATCGGCAGCTCTGTGTGAATTAGTTGTTTTGTTTTCTTGCATATTAACAGAGAGACTTTTCGAAAAAGTAAATATAAACTTTTAAAAACAATAACAGCGTATAACAAAAAGTAACAACTATAAATATTTGAGCACAAAATAGTAATTTATAAACAAATCAAAGCACAATAGTAACACAATGTAGCAACACAAATTATACACATTGAGTTATATAAAAAAAAATAATAATTATTCATAGAACTGAGTAGAAATAAACAGACCTAGCTCGAGAACTACACATAAAAATATAAAACCAAAATAATACAAACAAAAGTAACGTCACTTCCGTTAAGATGAAGAAGAACGTCACGTCCGCTCGCTGTGCGCGTTCGGTTTGGCAGGCAGGGTAGGAGTCGACGTCAGGTAGGGAAACAAAATAAAACACTTTGCTTTCTTTTCATGTTCAACGAACCGTGTAACACTATAAAGGTGCCAAATGACATGTTTAATCAAAGAACCTAATCCCTTGTAAAGTTTTAGCTCTGACAGTTCTCCGGACGTAGATAGCTTGACGGCTAAGTTAGCATGCTATTGTTAGCACAGTTAACAATTGAGGTTTAGCTAGCCTTAACCTCTTCTTTCAATGATTCAGCCTTAACCGTTTGGACCCATAGTCTTTAAAATCAGCATTTTAAAGGTTTGCAATGCAGTAATCTAATTTTGCTAGTTTGAGGCTTAGTTGTTTGGAGTTGGGATCATAATAATCAATGAAGCAGTTAACTGTAACAAAGAGACCAAAACAAAAGCAATGGAGCAGTGGATTGTGTACTGTCCTGCTGCTCAGCAGTTCTCTTGTTATTCAAGTCAGTGTCACTTTGTTTAAAACGTTCAATTAAAGAATAGGGCCCAGGCTTACTGTTGAGTATACAATGAAATAACAGGATCTCATATGGGTTGTTCGGAGAATAAAGTTTTAAAATAGCTCTTATCAGTTTAGTCAAATAAATGGCTTTAATGATCATGAAATCAGCATTAGTACAACTTTCCCACAAAGACTTGGCTAGAAAAGCCTAACAAACTAAAGAGGCTTTCATGCAATTTGTCAAAATGCTCATAATAGACTCGGAAATATGCATTTAAATGGTGTTAAACGTCAGGCCATTTATATTTTTTCTTAAAGTATTGTAGAGATTGTAGAGGAGCTGAGCAGGACCTTTAATGAAAGACTTCTACACACCTTTGGTAAAAAGGAGCGCTACCGTAGGTCATTCATCCCTGCTGCCATCAGACTTAACAAAGCGGCACTACTAACTAATAAAAAATAACCTGTTCTTTTATTCGACTTTGATAAAGATAAAATGAGTTAAAGACCTGAAGATATAGTAATCCTGGCTGGATATGGAAGAACATTTTGAAAAGCTCTCAAAGACAACTGCATTGGCTTACGTTTTTATCACACTGCGCTTGTGTGGATTTGGTTGAATTGTTGGTTTATGTCGAGCTTTTTCATGTAGTTAGATGAATTGTGGGTATTTTCCTATTTGAGACTGTGCATGCAACATGTAATAGTTTCAGTAAGGATATAACCCTGAACTTTACAAAGTGATGTGGAACTTTGGATCATTTATTTGCTGGCAGGATGTTGCGGCTTCGCTGTAAGACCAAAAATGGGAGCCACATAATGCAAGGCTTGACTCATCAGTCCTGCGTCCAGGAGCTGAAGAGTAAGGTGGAGGAGTTAACAGGGATACCATGTGATGTGCAGAAGATAATGATTGGTTACCCACCATCCAACCTCGATCTTCGAAACTTAGATGCCCATTTAAAAGACTATCCCATCAAATCAGGTATGTTTTGAATCATATACAGATAACACACAGTGAATAAATCAGCTATTTAAAAGTGTTTTTTTCTATATTTTTTTGTTAAATGCTAATGATCTGACCCTCCCTGCAGCTTAAACTAACAAATGTTAAAAAGGGGTCAATTTAAATGCTCAGGTATATAATATATGCACTAACTTGATATTTAGCTCATTAAAAACTAACGTATTTTAATTTTGATGGCTGAGTTTGTGCTTGCACCTTTCCACAAAGAGTATAAAAATGTCTTTTGGACATTAAAACTATCTAAAATTATCATTATGAGCTAAAGTTTTTTTTTCTCTATATTCAAGGCAGTGTTTCTTCTTTTGTTCTGAATCTGTTTTTTGTCGTTGGTTCATCATCCTAAACAGGAGACACACTGATTGTTGAGGAGGAAAAGAACAAACCAAAACCTCAGGACCATCCCATCGTGAAAGCTCCTCACTTGGAACTCTCACCTGTGCTAGCACGCCGAGTGGTCCCCGCTGACAACTCCTGCCTCTTCACCAGTGTGTATTATGTTGTGGAAGGAGGTGTGTACGACCCCGCTTGTGCCCCTGAAATGCGCAGCCTTATCGCTCAGATAGTGTCCAGTGACCCTACAGCTTACTGCGAGGCAGTGCTGGGAAAAACCAATGAGGAGTACTGCTCCTGGATAAGACGGGATGACACCTGGGGAGGCGCCATTGAGGTGTCCATCCTGTCCAAGTTCTACCAGTGTGAGATCTGTGTGGTGGACACTCAGACAGTTCGGGTAGACAGGTTTGGGGAGGACGCTGGCTACCAAAAACGCGTCTTACTCATCTACGACGGCATTCACTACGACCCTCTGCAAAAAGAGCTTCCCAATTCCGATTCTCCTCCTCAGACTATCTTCTCTACCACCGATGACATAATCCTGGCCCAAGCCCTTGAGCTGGCAGATGAGGCTCGCCGCAAGCGTCAGTTCACAGACGTTAACCGCTTTGCCTTGCGCTGCATGGTGTGCCAGACAGGCCTGGTGGGACAAAAGGAGGCCCGTGAGCACGCCAAGGAAACAGGCCACACCAATTTCGGTGAAGTGTGAAAGTATGTGTTACCTTCCCTCCCTTTCACAGTTAGAACCACCTCCTACTCCTGTGCCCTCGTGTACAGCAAAGTCTGTTGGCCTGCTTGTGTTCCTCTACCTCACATTATCCTATGACATATTTGCAGAATCCTCAGACACTGTGTTAAGCCTCTTAATTGGTTCAGTATTACTTTTTAACCGCTGAAAGCTCTTAAAGTAAAAACCGCTACTGTAGTACTCTGTTACTAAT